TTGGTCTGTTCTGATTCTGATAGGTGCGCCTGACATGGCATTTCCACGATTAAATAATATTTCATTCTGGTTGTTGCCACCAAGTCTCTTGCTCCTATTAAGCCCAGCCTTAGTAGAAGTKGGTAGTGGCACTGGGTGGACGGTCTATCCGTCCTTAAGTGGTATTACCAGCCATTCTGGAGGAGCAGTTGATTCAGMAATTTCTAGTCCTCATCTATCTGGTATTTCATCCATTTCAGGTTCTATCAATTTTATAACAACTATCTCCAACTATCGGAAGCAAATGGGTCAATGACTAGATAGCCACGGTAAGATGGAAGCCCCGCACAAATTCCCTTAGAGTCGTCGGTCGAATTACCAATCAATTATATTGTTGGATGAGCGGAACATCTTTGAGACAAATCATCTCCACCTGGGTACATAGCTTCATCCAAACCATGGATCCACGAATTGTTGCCTCACTCGAGAAAAGAGCTTCGTAGTTGCGAGTTCTGCGCCGATGAGCGATATGTAATCCTAGGATTAGAACTATTCTTTACTAATTCCATATAGTAGTTAGATCTTTTAGATTTTTTAGATTTAGGTCTTTTGGCTAGTCTTCATTTCCCTTTCTTCTATTTTTCCAATATAAATAGCAAGAGCATGAATAGGCCTACATGGGATGGAAGGAAGGAAAGATGGAAGGAGAGAAGGACTGAACGACAAAAGGAAATACCTMTTTGTTTGCCTTGGAATGAATTAGTTTTTTCAACTGCTGAATAGGTTTYGGAGCTTAACTTAAGTAAGTCGTTAGTACGCTTTTAGTATCTGGATCGATAGAGACTGATCCCTTTCTACATACATAGCCCCACCCCACCAGATACATACATACTTTTYCTCCTTTCTCCCATAAAGCTTCCTTTCCTGAATCTTAGCTCTTATCTTTCTTATTTATTCTGACTACTATCACTTTATAAACCGAGACTGGATAATTAACCTTAACATATCAGGGTAGTACGCCTGGAACAAGAAGGTTCATCGTACAATTTCGACGACTACAAACATAAAGGAATATATCCCTCTCCCTTAGTGTCTTTCCACTTCCGTCGTTCAGGAACAAACACTTCRCCTAATTCTTTTGAATCCCGGCCCGCTTTTTCCCCACTAACTAATTACGTTACGACCACTGAACAAACTTGGTTGACGAACATAGTTTATGCGCCGCTAATTTAGCGGCTTGTCGAGCATTTGACAAACTGACACCATCCATTTCAAATGGGATTTGTCCTGTGGACACATGAGCAATCCAACCCGTAGGATTTCCTTTTTCTTCCTCCCATTCTGACTTCTGTAGGTTTTCCGCTCATAGTACGATGGAATTGCCCAATTATAGCTCGACGCGCTGCTTCAATGGCTCGATATGAAAGACGACCAGCTCTACAACTTTTAGTGCCATATCTTCCAAAACCAAGTCATTTAACGTCCGGTTTGCAACCCCTACTACATCTGCCTTTACGATATTTACTATATTTCATACGTTTTGGATATAGCACGTCCCCTTTCTTTTTGACCATATAAAATCCACACTTTGACACCTGAGATTTTGTAACGAGTAGATACTTCCGTAGGAGCATAATCTATTTTCTGGTTAAATACAATACTAGATGTTTTTCCATACATTCCGTATTCAGTTCTAGCTATTTCTGCACCTTCTAATCGACCTGACCAACATATACGGATCCCCTCCACCCCTTTTGTTATTACTAATCGAAAATCTTTCACTATTTGGCTAAAAATTGAGCGAAATGATCTGTTTTGTTCCTCGGTTGAAAAGAGATATCTTGAGCAACCGAAGAAGCACTTTGATAAACAGATTTGATTTTGACCAACTCAATTAAGGTATTAGTCTTTGTTCTATTAGACAACAAAGATCGCATTTTTTTCACTTCGTTCAAATAAAAGTTGTACCCGAACGGAATTCTTCTGTTTCTCAGTATGATCTCTATCATCATCTTTATTCCCTTTATCAGTTCTCCTATCCCACCTAGGTCTATGAATTTCTCTATCAATTCCATTACCTTATCCTTAGCCATGAAGTTCCAACATTTTTTCCTGAATGTTCATAGGAGTTGTTCCAGGGCATACTAAAAAAAGGTTCTTATACAGCCCAACCCCGTCCTTTGGAAAGAAAAAGGTAGCACCGAAGAAAGGAAAGAGCGAGATGGTGGTTTTTGTTGTTCCCGCGAAGCGAGGATGATTCGACCAACGAATGAAGTCGGTCAACTTTTTGTCTTCGGCCAAAAACTTTTTCTGGTTGGTCGAGCTTTCGACAAAAAAAGCGAAACGTATTCTCTTATCTAAGCTTCTTCCCTGTGCGTTAGCTCCCCCCATGGTAGATGGTTCAACCACGCCCGGTTCCACGAAATGATTGAGAACTACGACGGGGTCGAAATGCATTTRGTTCTTTGTCTTCAATAAGTATGGCATGACCGAATAATTCAAGGAAGGGCGCACCGCAGGGAGGGTCCTTTTAAGTGGATGACTCGTCGGGCTGTCGGAGGGGGACTTCTTTGACTTCTTTGAGAAAAAGAACTTGAATAACTTCGTTTTTCTGAAGGAGTCGTCATTTAGGAGGGCTATGTCATTTACAAGACTGCGTATTTTGGATGCTTGAAGGCCCCGCTGACCCAAAGTGATTTAGAAAGATTCTTCTTTATCGATGGTGATCGGTCATGGTATCCAGAGCGTTGCTTCTTTTTTGGCCAAATGCTGATTTCGTTTTGCTTCTCCCGGTCGTCGAGCCTGATCGACTCGACTCTTTTGCCTGCCCCTCGGCCTCACACTTTTTTTTGATCTTCTTCTGTACCATCGTTTGAATGAAGACACCCGATCGGCCCGACTTTACCAAATGGCCACCATTGGCCGTTCCCCTTTCCGGGTCTGGATTTTTTGCATCATTTCTGTCGTCGTGGCCGACGGGGAAGAAAGAAATGAATGAATGTTTTTTTGGGAAAATGTAGAATAATACACCTACCGAGACGAAAGCCAAAGGTGAGTCTAGTAGGTGGACGTATCGAACCGAAATAAGATCTAAGATTGACATCTTGATACACTAATTTACCATGATAATAAACAGAGTCAATGCGGACTCCGCCATGGTAAGGGCTGCTTCTTTCTTCTTTGATAGGGGGGTTTCCATTCACCAGTGCAGACTAAAAGTGCTCTCCGAACCGTGCTGGATAGTCACCCATCACACGGCTCTCAAACCCAACCTGTGGTGGATCCTGGGTGACAAAGTAAAAGCGTTTGACCCTTTGCCCCATACTTTGAGATGCTCCTCCCCGTCGATCAAGCAGCGATGCTGCTCTTAGCTTTAAGCCACTATCGTTCGGTTCAGATAAGTCAAGTCCCTTCGGTCAGTTCGCTCAGGTGATCCTCCTTTATCTTCCCTAACGTTCAGAGTTGTTTTGGTTTGAGAAAGGAGCACCGGCCGAGCGCCCTGAAAGAATAATAAATTGACAACAGAGGTAATTGCAGATTCTTATTTGAACGAGTTGAAGCTAACAACATGTTTTTTACACACCGGGGGATGGTAAGAACTGAGGGAAAATGCCCCTCTAACCTAAGTGGKCCTACCTGCGAAGCAACTGGTACGGGGGGAGGTTTGGTTTCGTGCAAGGCCCTCGCAGCAGGAAGAGACAGTTGTCATTTGAAAGAAAGGCTCTTTGTTTGTATAAAGTTCCAAACCTTCGCACCCTGATGAAAAAKCCCTTTCTTTTCTATCTTATTAGTAAATCCTAAACGTCCATATTGAAGCCTAGCTAACGAGAAATCAAAGCGATAACACACCTATCCTAAGATTAGGATCGAAATAGAAGATAATGCCTTTCTTTCTCAAAGTAAACTTTATCCCTTCCCTTCTTGCTTTAGAAAGATTGCAGCAAGCGTGCTGGACTAATATAATAGAAAGTCAAGGCTCTTCTCCTGTTCTACGAATCTACAACTCTCTTTACTGAGCGAGACTCCATCTATATCCCTACTAGTGGTTATTCTTTCCAGGCCATTTGTTTGACAGCTTAAACTAGACCCCACTTTCGATTAGATAGGTTTCGGTCTTAATCAAGATAGGTCAAGGGCGCGTCGGAACGGTCGGTAGCTACTTAGTCTCATCTAAGGGTCTAATCTCCTTGTACGACTTTTTTTCTTTTTAAAAAAAGGTCCATTTAGGCTCCTTCCCTTCCACGGCATAGTTGCAAACGTAGGTACTACGAGCCCTCTGTCCCACTCATTTAACCAGCTCGCGTGGTGCACTGGTTTCACCGAAAACTCTCATTTGTTGAAGCGGAGCATAGTGCGCTTTAGGCACCGAGCGAGAAAAGTCTCTTCTTTCGTTTCGGTTTATTCACTGATCTGAAATTTAGCACTTGTTTTCTTATTGATTCCAGGGGCAGCGGCGTTCTTGAATAAAGTCTATCCGAATCGAATTAACACTTCTCACATCAGGCAAGGCCTTTACAGCAGAGCTGGGCATCGGGTCCCTGGCTGCACTAGCAATTGGCACATAGAGGAATCATTGCCTGGCTTTCTCGGCCTGGTATCCTGCACCTCGCGTTCATGATATCTACATTCAACTGTGCCCCGGAGACACGGTCGAAGCACGCCCGCCCAGTGTGCTTCTTTCACGACATGCTCTGGTTTCGGGTGTCTTCCAGTGGTCTTCTAGCGTTAGAATAAGTCGTGTCCGTCCCAGACATCTACAACGCCCTTCCCCGCCTTTTTTTGAATCTGGGGTGAAGGAAAAGACTGACCCCTTCGGTGACTTTCGCGGTCGCCCTCACTGAACCGACTTGAATCTGAACATCGATTCAGATCAAGTCTTACCGAAATCGGATTCCCTTTTCGTGCCATAYGCGCTTAGACTTTACTTTTTTCCCTTTTTTATTCCCGGCCCAATATTAGTGCAATTGCCTTCTTAGATTAGAGCCAGTAACTTCGTACTGAAAATTGGAGAAAAAAGAGTTCCAGAGGCATCTTCCATTCATATCGATTTTGGTTTTTCTGCACCATATTTTGATCTCCCTTTTCTTCGATCCGGAATTCCCAACAAATCCTTGACTCCTCGAATACAATGGGATTTCACACYTGGCGAATCTTTCACTCTACCTCCTCTTATTAAAACTATAGAATGTTCCTGCGAATTATGACCTTCACCCAAAATTTGAGCAAATATATTGTGTCGATTGCTCAACCGTACTTTGGCTATCTTACGTGGAGCTGAATTAGGTTTTTTCGGTGTTCTCGTTGGTACACGCGGGCGTACTCCTTGCTTCTGGGGACATTGATATGAAGCTTGAGTACGATCCGTGTGCAGTTTTTCTTCTCTACCATGACGAATCAATTGATTTAATGTAGGCATCACTCTTTCTTTTGTCCTTCCCACCGATTTTTTCCCTATCACTAGTGGTTACTCCCGATCCGAAGCACCCTTTTTCCATTCATAGAGAAATCCAATCATCAAAATTAATAAAAAGGCCATCATGGACCAAGATCCAAAGGGATCAATCTTGTTGGGAGGTACTGCCCAAGGAAAGGAAAAGGTGACTTCCGGAWCAGGGATAATAAATAAAATAGAAACAAGATAAAATCGTATATCAAAACGACTTCTRGCATCACCGAAAGGATCGAAACCACATTCGTAGGCCGACAATTTTTCTRGATAGGTCGAACTATTGGAAGCAAATGGAAAAGGAACACCATGTGGGATCAAAGAAACTAGTGGACTGATCACTAAATAGATAAAAATAGGTGCAAATTTTGACATCACCAGAACCCACTTTGTTTTCTCGCGGAGCGGCATACCGTAAAAAAGATAGGATTTGAATCGATGACTTAAGCCCTTGCGCTATTCCCCCCTGATCGCATCGTAGATAGCAGTCAGAGTTAATACGCTTTCTATTCTCTTTCAAAAGTGAGATCAACATCGGCTTGTTTTGTTGAAATCGAGAAAGGTCACTCCTAAATGCAACCTTTCTCTTATATACGATAAGACGAAAAGCATTTAGTTCGATCGAGTTCTCTCTATATCAATCTTCAAATTACAGAAAATGGAAAGAAAAGCGCTTTTTTCCAGTTAATCGAGTGCCTTTACTAGAGAACAATTACTAAACTTAGTCTATCAAAATACAATCGAAAGCTTGAAGAAAAGATAAAATGTGAACTTTCGCGCCTTCGAAAAGGATTTATTTTAAGTGGATTTGGGAATGCGTGCGTCCTCTCAGCTTTAACTTGTCGCTATCACAATCACTTAATTCAATTTCTATTTTTTTGATTGTACGGGTGCTGAGGGGCATTTATATAAAGCGAAAGCCCTCCGGACATAGGGAACGGACCCGCGCATCTCTATTGACTTCATAACTACCTTGTTACCTTTCAAGCTTTCCTGGATTCTGTCTGTCATGTATGGAATTGTAGTCTTTGGATGAACTACGGCTTCGTGTTGCAGCAAAGATTTCTCTGTATTAGGTACGCATCGCAAGAGCATATGAAACAAAAAAAATTAAAACTTCTTTTTCCTCCCTCAAACTGACTAACATTTCTCTGTTATGCATGAGAAAAGGTTAACAGAAGGTACTTTCGATGGATATCGGGACTCAATTCAATTTAGTACCACCCTTTTTGTCAGTTTGCCCTTCCCCGAGTCTTTCTCTTTCTTTTGGAGTGAAAACAGTAATTGAAATGAGTCATTTCACGGATAATGCTTAYCGAGGAAAAAGATACTTTAGCATTACTACTACCAGAAAAGAAGAGTTCAGCCTTACCTAGTTCTTTCTATTTATCCCTTATTCGGATAGAATCGGAGCTATTTAACAGAGGAACGTAAGCCAACTCCCAACTCTCATTAGCGAAGCGTTAGTAGCAATCTTTCTATCAATTACTTTCCTTGCCATCTTGATTGCCGCTCCGCACCTTACCTTTCTTCCCGGAAAAGAATTTAACCCTCACTCATCCCATCTCCCCTTCCTCCAACTGCGCTTACACCGAAAGTGACAAGAGCTTCTTCTTTTTTCACAGCTTCTTCAACTTGAACGGATTCGATTCCGAACCTTTTGAGTAACTATAGTGATTCCTTCCCTTTCTCTTCCTTCTTTCCCAGAGCWAATGGCTCATTTCACTCTCTTTAAATAAGACCGTGAGTCACTCGCTTTCTTTCCTCCTAACCAACTCGCTATAGGGTCTATGTAATTGAGCTGGTTCTGTATAAGCAGGGGTGGGGATGAYGCTCGTATCCCGTAACTTGTCAGTAGAGTCATTCATCCCCATCTTGGTTGCATTCATTATCTTGGAAAGCTTGTCTAGTCTCTGCCCCTGCCTCTGGGTAGCCTTTGATTAGCTCGGTGAGCCTTCCCCTTATACACGAGCGAGGTCGTGATAACAGTTTCTGAGTGAGGCGAGGGGCTCCTCTTAATCGACGAAGGCTTGAGTCCCCTATGGCCAGTACAATGCGCTAGTCGCATCTTCTATAAGGCTGGCATCTAATATAAAGAAAGCTGTCCTTGTGGACTCTGTCTCATCTTTTTTTATTAACTATATTCATGCATCATGAAAAAAATGAAGCAATCCGCTTCGCACCTTTATCCCTTTCTTTTTTTGGGGAAAATGCATTCTCACAACTTCCTATTGAATAAAAAAAATGCCTACACCCATGCTCTCTGGAAAAGTCTTCTCCAGAAGTTTTATACTAAGCCCACTTATTCTTATCCCCCTGTGGCTGCCTTTGCGTTTCCCACAATCACAAGCCCACTAGGCATAAAGAAAACAGAGGATCCTCGTGCCGAAGCAGGCACCTTTCTTGGCTATCCTTTTGGTCAAATCTTTTCTCTCTCATATATGATTCTTCTTTAAAACCATTTACACTTCCAGGAGTATCAGCGCAGCTTCGATAGGACAAGGTTTGAAGAGCTCTTACGCGGAAAGTCTTTTGCTCTCTCTTATTCAGTTCGAATCCTCAGTTTTTCGATAAAGCTAAATTCGAGAATAGAACAAAGAATTGAATCATAGAGTTCAGATATCTACCGAAAGGAAGAGGAGAACAAATCAAGATCGACTGACTTACAGGAAAGAAGCGAAACTCGACTGCTTGGACAGAGTGGGATAGATCTATTGCCAGAGGTGGAGAGGGATAGGTATCTAGACTTCCAAGTTGCGGCATGAAGTAGCAAAGGCTGTTCAGTTAGATTTTTTAGATGCTGGAGTAAGTTCAAGAGAAAGAACAGAGCTAGACTTCAAAGGAGAAGTCGGAAGAAGATCAACCGAGAGTCTCCGACTTTCATATGCTCTTTATAAAGTAGTTTGAGGGCCTTAAGAAAGGTAGACCATCGGGGTAAGTAAGGAATGGGCCAATGTACATTGATTTTTCATATATAGAGGGATTCCCTGTATAGCTAGCCTTCTTCTTCAGCAGATACTCTGCGTAGTATACCTATGGACGGTACATTTAATCAAACAAAGACTCTCGACTTTCTTGTTGGTTCGTGGGTCTGCTTCCTTATGATCCATGGTCTGCCACCAATAGGTGGTCGATCGTGTTTTTTGAGAGGGTTGTATCCAAGTTATTCGATCAGGATTTCTCCGAAGTGGTTAGTTTCCTGTAATCTGGTGGTGAATTTGATGTCCCGTGGGTGACAACCCTAGGCTCTATTGTCAAATTTATGAGTGGGTACCTGTTGGGCTATCTTGGTGCATGGCCTCTTTTCGTGTTGTCCCACCACCTAATTATTTGGTGGTGTGCAGAACTTGTGTACCCGGGAAGGGTGTTTACCAACTAGACCGTCCTCGGGGATGACGTAGTAATTGCGGATGAGAATGTCGCGACCCGTTACAAGGAGTCCCTTGACCACCTGCAGGTGCCTATTTCGAAAGATAAATCACTAATATCAAATAGTGGCTCCGTGGAATTCATCAATAACTTTAGTGTACGAGATTTGACAGTCGATCTCTCCCCGGTATCCATTAAAGCGTTATTAAACACTTTCCTCCCCTACGGGTTGATGGTTGTTGCTCACCATTATTTGTTGCGTGATTTTCGTCTTCTTTGTAGGCTGGGTGGAGCTGGATATTGTGTTCTTGCAAGTCTAGACGATAGGCGCCCGAGGCAGTATTCCCATCTTGGGGTTATGGGGCTAAAATTGCTCTCTTCTTCTTACCCGCTTGATTTCTGGTTAGGTATGGGACGACCACTCAGTCAAGAAGCTCATGGGCATTTGGTGAGACTCCTTTGAGCCAAACTTAATCCCCAAAAGCTGCTTTTGCCTCCCGATGAGCTATTCGAGATTGAGGAATCTAGAGATTTCTTAGAGTACTATCTTCTTTATGGATGGATGTGCCAGTTGTAAAACTACCTTAAATGGTATCACCTTACCGYACTTTCCCCTTGGGTTACCCTCGAGGAACTGTTTAGCGGTCMGGTTGTCTCGCACTCCTGGAGGATGGTCGCGATGGATAAAGACCTCGTTTGCTTCTCTGTGGAAGTTGTTTATAGAAGGGCGCTTTTAAAGTGCATTAATCAGGCTGTGAAGTGAAGGTCACAGGGGCTATGAAACCGGACATAGGAATTTGAAAGCCCTAGTAGTAAGCAGAAAATGAAAAGCTTATTCATAAGACAAGACAAATCGATCTATATTCTCCTGCTCACCTTTACAAGGTTTCCTACTCACTTTATTGAGTTACAGTCGGGTTCTGCAAGGAAGCATCTCGACAGGCCCGCAACCAGTGGTTGATGCCCCACCCGAGCTCTCCATACTCCATTTATCATGGAGAGTTTTACCAACCCTACCATCCTAGAACGTTAGCGTACAAGAGTGGCATTTCTCAATTTAGTTAGTCACACATGGAATCTCAGATATGGAAGTTTTATTCCGATTTATTTGGCGTTTAATTGGTTGCACTCTAAGTCGCACCTAAGATCCTTAGTCTATCTGAGGGTATCGTTCACTAGGGCATGATAGAACCCATGGTCAGTACCTCTTTACTAGGGACGGGGTTCCCAAGAGATAGCTCTGGTTCGTGTGCATTAGAAGTAGACATGAGTGGTTGTCTTAGTGCGCATCGAAGCGACATACGTGAAAGACCTTGCCTCAGTGCCTTTGAGGGATTCCTTCTCGCTTGCTTGCTCTCTAAGCTCTTCAAACCTGCCCTGCTTTGATTCATGTGCTTGCTTTTGCCCCCTTCTTTCTTTGGCGCTTGCCTGGATCGCTATCTTACTAGCAGCTTTTTTCTATTTGAGCTTCCCTTTTTCCGTTTATCGAGCATAATGATTTGAATCGGGATTTTGGTAACATTCTTTGCCGAAAAAGTTCTATCTTATCAGACGACATCAGATGCCGGTGGGGGTTAGCATTCTTTATGGGTATTATTTGGTGCCAGTGGCCTCTTTGATGAATTGGATGGTTTTATGCTCATCATTGATTTGGC